AGGGGGCGGGAGGGGGCAAAATGAGACCACACGCAAGGCACCTTTAAAACTTCTGCATGTTTTTCTTCACTAGGCAAGAATCCCTCTCCCACCCCCCATCTGGACTAGCCAGCTCTTCACACCTGTTGTTTTATTTTCTATGAGCTAGACTGCAACTGGTTTAGGGGGTTGTTGTTCAAATGCAAACCCCACGCTGGGCCAGATGAGCCTTTGAGTATCACAGAGAGCCTGTGAAAGTTGGGGATGGAGTTACTGGCCACTCAGAGGGTGAAAACATCTCCGTTTTTCCACTGATGTAACACCACAGATTTCAGTGGGTTGCTCCTGGGCGTTTGCTGGGGTGAGCAAGGTCAATAGCAGACCTTTGTATCCAGAAATTAGAGGCAGGGAATAGATTGTACAAAATTCTAGGGGCTAAGTTTCACCTTTACACCCAGCCAGCTATCTGCTTCTTTTCTGTGCATTGCTTGGACAGTAGCTGGGTGGAACTTATCCTTGCCTTAGCTGCTCTAGGGGGATTTCCCCCTTCATCATCCCATGGAGCAGGAAACAGTATTCTGGGATATGTGTGACCCAGATCTTTCCAGAAGCCAAAGATGTGGGGCAGGCCCCCTGGCTGCCTTTAGGCTCTGTCTATAGGGAAGCTCTCTCAGACACAGACCTCTTGGATGGGCAGTAGTATGGCATCTTCAAGTTGGAAGCTACATTGCTGGGTATGGGCACTATGCATCTTCAGAACTTGGGCTTCACCTTGAGTGGAGGCCAGTCTCTGTGCTATGAGGGTGTCAGGCAATGATCCGTCTAGGTCAGTGTTTCTTAAACTTTTTAAGACCGAGGAACACCAAACAATATTTTTTTTAATGAGGAACACGAAGGATTTTTTGTTGAGCGCCAAAAAAAAAAAAAGTCTCCTGCCCCTTTATGGGCATTCATTTTGAATTCTGTTGTTCTCCGTGGCACATCTCCGACTGCCCTGTGGCACACCGGTGTGCCAGGGAACACAGTTTAAGAAACACTGCTCTAAGTTTTCCCCTCTGTGTGCAGAATAAATTGTGTTCTATGCACCAAGGCATGTGCAGATGGGCACCACCAATAGAAACATGTGCTGTTGGCTGTGGGCACTCTGCCAGTCAGCTAGGTGGCATTTGAATCTCTCCTTGGTGGCCGCCCAAGCTCTCAGCTTACAGGGAACACTGGTGCCGGGAAAGAACAGTTCTGTAGCTTCATTGTGCCTATTGGGGTCCAGGAAGAAAGCTGGTGTAAGTCTATAGCTTCCCTGCTGCATGAGAAGCAGTTTGGTCTAGTGGCTAGAGAACCAGACCGGGTTCTATTCTGGCTCTGCTACTGATCAGAACATTTCACTGTGCTGTACCACAGTTTCCTGTAGAATGGGAACCTACTGACCTCTGTTGCAAAGTGCTCTGCTGATGACTACAAGCAAAATATGAGTCAACAGTGTGACACAGTTACAAAAAAAACAAATATTGTTCTGGGATGCATTAACAGGAGTGTTGTGAGCAAGACATTAGACGTCATTCTTCCGCTCTACTCTGCGCTGATTAGAATTCAACCGGAGTGTTGTGTCCAGGTCTGGGTGCCACATTTCAGAAAAGATGTGGAGAAGTTCCAGAAAGGAGCATCAAGAAAGATTAAAGGTCCAGAAAACATGACCTATTAGGGAAGACTGAAATAATTGCATTTGTTTAGTCTGGAGAAGGGAAGAATGAGAGGGGACATGATAGCAGTTTTCAAGTACCTAAAAGGATGTTACAAGGAAGAGGAATTAAATTGTTCTCCTTGGTGCCTCTGATGACAGAACAAGAGACTTAAATTGCAGCAGGGGAGGTTAAGGTTGGATGTTAGGAAAAACTTCCTAATTGTCAGGGTGATTATGTACTTCAATAAATTGACTGGGGAGGTTGTAGAATCTCCCCCATTGGAGATACAGGCAGTCCCCGGGTTACATACAAGATAGGGACTGGAGGTTTGTTCTTAAGATGAATCTGTATGTAAGTCGGAACTGGCGTCAGCCGCTGCTGAAACTGATCAGTTTCAACAGAGGCTGAATCTGGACGCCAGTTCTGACTTACATACGGATTCAACTTAAGAAACCCAGGCGTAGGCAAGAAAAGCCTGGTCTGCTGGGAGGGGAGGGGGGACACTAGCTGCACCCCCCCCAGCAGACCAGGGAGACGCGGGGGGCGGGACCACCCGCGTCCTCCATGGCTTTGCTCCGTCTCCCTGGACTGCTGACCAGGGAGACAGGGAGCAAAGCTGCGGAGCATGCCCGCAGCAGGACAGCCCAGGCGCGCCCGGGCTGTCCCGCTGCGGGCGTGCTGTCCCCCCCCCCCGCAGACCAGGGAGACGTGGAGCAGCTTTTCTCGCCCCGGAGGACCGGGGCGGCGGGACTGCAGCGCATCTGGGCGTCCCACCGCTCCAGTCCTCCGGGGCGAGAAAAGCCCCGTTCGTAACTGTGGATCCGACATAAGTCGGATCCGTGTAACTCAGGGACTGCCTGTATTTAAGAGCAGGTTAGGTCATCCTGTAAGGATGACCTAGATGGTGCTTGGTCCTGCCGTGAGTGCGGGGAACTGGACTTGATGACCTTTTGAGTTCGTAGTATTTTATGTTTCTATGAAAGTGCTGTCTGTTACGACCTGGTAGTGGTGTTATGATTCTGCCTGGGTGAAGGTGGCTCATTTAGTGCATGATTCATTTGTATCTGGGTGACGTCAGCTGCGTTAGTTCCAAATCACAACAGTGTGAGAGGAGAATCCACCCCATTGCACCCACACCAGCTGCAGCGTGTAGAATAATTTGAGACTCATCCTGCTTTGCTGGGCAGATTTTCATTGGTCAGGAGAGCTCCCTGAGGCTGGTTAGCAAGGGCTAACACCTTGAACAGCTAGGGGTATGTCTACACTGCAATGCTATTTTGGGATACTGGAGTATTCTGAAATAGCTATCCCAAGTCTTCACCGCAAGCTGGTTATTTCGAGCTCACTATTCCGAAGTCCCTGTAAACCTCATTTCATGAGGAGTAAGGGACCTTTTGGAATAGTGCTTTATTTCGAAATTTGGCACTGTGTAGACAGCGCCAAATGACGACATAAGCTATTCCGAAATAGTATCAAAATCAGATAAGCAATTTGTGTAGCTCAAATTGCATATCTTATTTCGAGTTACAGAGCAATGTAGATGCGCCCTACAGTTTGACTGCATATATGAGCACCTTTTTTGATCCTGTGACCAATCCAGCGAAAGTGCTTCTATGCCAATCAGCTCTTCAGTGTGGGTTAGGAAGGCCGTGGTTTGCATGTGCCTGGAAGGGTATTTGCACACTTGCTATTTGCCTTTGCACATTGAGGCTCTGCCCTGGAATGATGTAGGGAATAGATAGTTATAAATCTTGGGAAGCACAATAAAGCCCTAGCATTTGCTGGGTGAGAGTGGAGGTGAGCTGTCAGCAAGGCATGTGGGGGATTAGCTAGGCATCTCCCATCACAAAACATGGTAAGTGCCTCCAGCTGTGCGCAGGCATCTGTGTGAAGGGGTATGTGCTTCCCGGTCAGAGAGGGGGGCATATCAGCCCTCTGGATCTTGAGGACCCCAAAGGTTGAGATCCTGATCCAAATTTGGCAAACAGCCCCTCTCTTTTTTTAATGGAAACCCAGTCCTCAGGCTTGTCCAGTCCTTGGGGTATTTGAAATCCAAATCCCAAGCTTGTGACTTTAGCCCATTTCTAGTGTTTATTGGGCTGAAGTGGGGAACATGCTTCAAGAATGATTCCCCCCTCCCC